GGAGAAATATTTTTTCGGCGAAAAAAAAATTAATAAATGTGCGTCAAGGCGTATGCACTCACCTGTCCAGCCTCACGTCATAGACCTCACAGGAGGACATTGGTTTCACGAGAATCCCACCCATCGATGCTCCGAAAACGCCAATCAGCGTTTCTTCTACGTCGGCAGCAGCGGTGGAAACCTCCACGACGGTGGCTGCGTGCCGCGCGCGTTTAACGGCGAGGGGCGCCGGCTCGCGCCAGAGTCCTTCTCTCACCACAAACTCCCCAACACGCCGCTCACCCCATCCTCTTCCAGCAACGAAAATCCTCTATTCAATTTGGTGGAGAAAAAATAGGACTGCACAAAGTAGCCAGCTGTGCGTTCATTAAAAAGCAAAAAATACACCTTAACGACCGCTAAATCCATCCAGTGGCGGCAAAATGTGCTAACAGGTAGGAGGCCTGCGCACGGAGGCATTAGACTTTAGTAAAGCAACTGTCCCGCAACTCACCACCCACCGCACTGTAGGAGGCGCCCCACCGGCCAGCTTCCATGTCAGCAACGCGTTCTGCCTGATGCAGATGCGGATTCCCACGCAGAACAGACCACACCCGTTCTGCCTGTCCTTCTCAAAGAGGAACATCGGCTGCTCCAAAGAAGGCTTGGCGAACATGAGGCCTAATGTTGAAGGGACAGGACCGCTTCTCCTTTTCTGAGGCGGCAATCCAATTTAAGTGGATTAGAGAAGAGAATTTCCCCTGATCCGAAACTCTCCTGCCTTGGACGAAATCCGCCTTGCGGAGGAAATTAAGGATTTGAGAGAAGAGGTGGCCCCCGTTACCGCGAATATTCATGTTTGCTTGCGTGCTAGGTAAAGGACAGGACGGAGCTCCACCACGCTTGCAAAAATGCTGGAGTTGCCTCAGCTGGTGGTCTGGGGAGCGGCACTCATGGCCAGAGGGTACACGCATTTCCTGTCTAACTGTCTGTTCTGAAGCCTCACCCTAGAAAACCTGTCAGCCGTTTAGGACTCTGTGAGGTCGCTGAAGGTTGAAGCACTGACGGAGAAGTGCATCGGACTGATGAGGGCGCAGTTTGAAGACTTGGTGCCAACCGACCTCTCTGTTCGCCTTCCTGCCCAAACTCTACTCACTGTGCTTCAAAGTGAAGATTTGTCTGTGTCGTCTGAGGAGCAGGCTATTGCGGCCATCTCACGGTGGGTGGATGCAAGTGCGTGCCTGGCGGATGATGACAAAAGGCTTCAAGTACATGCTCCAGCAATGCTAGAGGAAGTGCAGTGGCACCAGACGGCCGTGAAATGTCGCGATCGTCTGCTGGAGAATCATCCGGCATTTGAGAAAAGTCCCGTGTGTCTGTAAGTACACGGCATTGCAGCCCTGTTATTTTTTCTCTAAAAGTCGGCTTCTGTCTCAGATCTTAGATGGTATTGCCGCCTCAGACAAGGTGAAGCGGTCCTGTCCCTTCAACATCAGGCCTCGTGTTCGCCACGCATTCTTTGGCGCAGACGAAGGTGAGACGATGTTCCTCTTTGGGAAGGACAGGCAGAACAGGTGGTCTGCCCTGCGTTGGAATCCGCATTTGCATCAGGCAGAAAGTGTTGCTGACATGGAAGCAGACAGGTGGGGCGCCTCCTACAGCGCGGAGGGTGCTGAGTTGCGGGACAGTTGTCTGACTGAAATCTAATGCCTCTGGGTGCAGGCCTCCTACCCGTCAGCCCATTTTGCCGCCACAGAGTGCATTTATCGTTCGTTATGGTGTCTTTTTTGCTTTTTAAAGGATGCAAATCTTTCAACCCATTTCAGCTGGCTACTCTATGCATTCCTTTTTTTTTCTCCACCAGACTGAAGAGAGCATTTTCGCTGTTGGAGGAGGATTGGGTGAGCGGCGTGTTGGCGAGTCTGTGGTGAGAGAAGGGCGCTAGCGCGAGCGGGCGACCCTCGCCGTTGGACGCTGACAGGTAGGAGGCCTGCACCCAGCCTTTGATCCACCAAATACGCCAATCAGCGTCTCCTTTCCGTCGGCAGCAGCGGTGGAAACCTTCACGACGACGGGTGCGTGTCCTATGCGTCCACCAGCGAGGGGCGCCCGCGCCCTCCTCACACCAGATACTCGCCAACACACCGCTCACCATACCCTCTCCATCAACGAATGTTCTCTCTTCGGTTTGGTGGAAAAAAAGAATGCATAAAGTAGCCAGCTGAAAGGGGTTGAGAGGTGTGCATTCCTTAAAAAGCAAAATAGACACCTTAACGAGCGCTAAATCCACACCGCGATAGCAAAATGTGCTGACAGGTAGAAGGCCTCCATCCAGAGGCAGTAGACTTCAGTCAAACAACTGTCCGGCAACTTACCTCCCATGACACTGTACGAAGCGTCCGTCCGGTCTCCTTCCATGTCAGCAACGCGTTCTGCCTGCTGCAGACGCGGATTCCAACGCAAACAAACCACCTCCACTGACTGTCCGATCAAAAGAGGAAGATTGTGGGATGTTTGCTCGAAAGAAGGTCTGGCGAACCCGAGGGACAGGACCGCTTCTCCTTGTCTGAGGCGGCAATCCAACTTAAGATCTGAAACAGAAGTCGACTTTTAGAAAAAAATAACAGGGCGGCAATGCCGCGTACTTACAGACACACTGGACTCCTTCTGAATGCCGGATAATTCTCCAGCAGACGATCGCGGCATTTCACGGCCGTCTGGTGACACTGCATTGCAGGAGCGTGCACTTGAAGACTTTTGTCATCATCCGCCAGGCACGCACTTGTATCCACCCACCGTGAGATGGCCACAATAGCCTGCTCCTCAGACGACACAGACAAATCTTCACTTTGAAGCACAGTGAGTAGAGTTTGGGCAGGAAGGCGAACAAAGAGGTCGGTTGGCACCAAGTCTTCCAACTGCGCCCTCATCTGTCTGAGTCACTTCTGCGTCAGTGCTTCAATTTTCAGCGACCTCACAGAGTCCCAGACGGCTGACAGGTTTTCTAGGGTGAGGCTTCAGAACAGACAGTTAGACAGGAAATGCGTGTACCCTCTGGCCATGAATGCTACTCCCCAGTCCACCAGGTGAGGCAACTCTTGTATGCTTGCAAGCGTTACCAGGGCCTTCGAATTGTCTTGCCTGATCTTCACTCGGCCCGTGTAGACATACCGCAAGAACGTAGTTGCGAGACTAGAAAGTGCAGAAGCCGTAAACAAAATCACCGAATAGACGAAAATTCTACCTCAGTGGCATTCTCGGCCGTCGTAGAACGGAATTCGTCTCCCCGAGGGGGCTACTGGAGTGGCTCGCAGAGACGGAATGCGAGCCGCCAATATGATGCGATTAGCGTGGAGCTCCGTCCTGTCCTTTACCTAACACGTAAACAAACATGAATATTTGCGGGAACGGAGGCTACCTCCGCAAGGCGGATTTCGTTCAAGGCAGGACAGCTTCGGATCAGGGGAAACTCGTCTTCGAATACTTCTGCTCCTCGGAGAGCCACTTGGGGCATGGACCAGAGCGATATCGACAGAATGCCTTCTGGGCGGTGAGGGCTGTACTTTTATTTCTCCCCTGACATTCTATGCACGCACGCGCGCACTGACGACCTACAGGATCTGATTGGCCAAGGGCAGCTCAGAGCGGATTCCGTCGGTTGGTAGTTGGCACAGGAGGGGGGTGAGTTAATACGAAAAAGGTAAAGGGGACTTCTTCATTGGTCAAGCCATAGCTTTCACTGCCAGATATGGAATACCAACTAGGCTGACGTGTGCCCGCGGTCGGCTAGATAAACAACATGCGGACGGTATCTAGGATGGCGTGACCTGCACATAACCCGAAAAGACGAAAACGTAAGCAAACAAAAATGCTAAAAGCCACAAACAAAAGCAAACCAAAATAAAAAAGAAATTTAAAAATGAAAACAGAGCGACATTGCAGGACAAATTAACATAGTGAAGGCAGAAATTACAGTAAAAGTTCGTCAGCAAACTTAAAAAGAATAATTGCAAAAAACCATCAATATCAATACTGACACAAGAAGCAAATATTAGGAATACTGGATGTGCTAGGGAGCTGTGAGTGATCATTCCCCATAAATGACGCTACCGGCTTCTGTTGATCAGTAATCAACACAGCAGGACGTATGTGTGTGTTCGTGAGACAGTGACTGAAACCGCGAAATGTCGTACCCCTGGCTTCCGTGATACAGTTGCTGGAAAAGTAAGCATTCCGGGTTTGTTCGTAAGCAGAACGAGTTTAACACCGCGATCAATCTCAATAACGGCGTTTGTAACATCACAGCAGGCATTCTCGGAGTGTTCTGGCATTCTACATGTGATTCAGAGTCCAACAGGGTAAACAACAAGACAAAAGGCAATACTGGCTTCTGTGACAAGCAAACCAGCCAAGCGAGCGTTCCACGTCTTTTAGTAAGGTGAGCTTAATTAAACACCCGGTCACAGGTACCATTGTTCTCTGTTCCACCACAGACAACCCAGCATGCACTCAGCCCGAGTTGGTGGGCTGAGCGCGCTCAACCACCCGACCAGAGGTACAAAAGTATTCAGTGACAGAAAAGACAGCCTTGCATGCATTCAGTGCGAGTTTGTAAGCAGAACATGCTCAACCAAACGATCAGTGGTATTACAGCCAGCAGTGACAAAATAGTCAGTCTAGCAGTCAATCAGTGCGAGTTGGGGAGATGAACGCGTTCAACCACCCGCCAGTTTTGCACTAGCCATCAGAGAACAAGCAGTCAGTCAACTAAGCAATCAGTGCGACATAGTGAGATGAACATGCTCAAACACCCACCAATGGTACCACAGCCAGCACCGACCTAACCAAATTCTAGCAGGCATTCAGTGCGGGTATTTGAGCTGAACGTGTTTAACCACCCATCAGCGGTACGACAGCAAGCAGTGGAACAACAGACTCTCTAGCAGGCATTCAGTGCGAGTTGGTGAGCTGAATATGCACAGCCATTCGACCAGTGTAACCAAAGCCAACAGAGATCCAACAGAGAGTCTAGGAAGCATTCAGGTCGACTTGGTGAGATGAGCGTGTTACACCAACCGCAAGTTTTACCACAGCCATCAGTGACCCAATAGTCAATCTAGCAAGCATTAAACGCGAGTTCACGATCTCAACATGTTCAAACTCCCGCCCAGTGGTACCACAGACAGCAGTGACCCAACAGTCAGTCAAGCAAGCATTCAGTGCGAGTTGGTGAGCTGAACGTGCTCAACCACCCACCAATCGTACCACAGCTATCAGTGACATTACAGACAGTCTAGCAGGCATTTAAAGCGAGTTGGTGAGCCGAACGTTTCTAACAAACCACCGGTGGTACCACAGCCAGCACTGACCCAACAGACGGTCTAGCAGGCACTCATTGCCAGGTGGATAGCTGAACATGCTCAACCAACCGACCAGTGGTACTAGAGCCAGCACTGATACAACAAACAGTCTGGCGGGCATTCAGTGCGACTAGGTGTGCTAAGGGTGCTCAAATCCCCGACTAGAAGTATTAGATCCAGCAGGGACCCAACAGACAGTCTAGCAGGCATTCAGTACTACTTGCTGTGCTAAGGGTGCTCAAATCCCCGACTAGAGGTATTAGAGCCAGCAGTGGCACAACAGACAGTCTAGCAGGCATTCAGTGCGACTTGTTAAGTTGAACGTGTTCAAACACACGACCAGTTGTATAACAGCCAGCATTGACCCAACAGACGGTCTCGGAGGCATTCAGAGCGACTTCGTGTGCGGACAGTGCTCAACATCCTGACCAGAGATATTGCTGCTAGCAGTGACACAAAAGATAGTCGAGGAGACATTCCGTGCGCATGTGTGAGCTGAACGTGTTTAACTACTTACCAATTGTAACACAGCCAGCAGGGGCCCAACACATATTCTAGCAGACATTCAGTGCGGGTTGGGTAGCTGAACACGATCAACCACCCGACCACTTGTACCACAGCCAGCAACAACACAACAGGCAGTCTACCATGCATTCAGTGCAATTTGATGATCAATGCGTGCTCAACCACCGGACACGTGGTACCGCAGCCAAAAGTGACTCAGCAGACATTCCAGCAGTCACTCAGTGCGACTCTGTGAGTTGAGCGTATTCAACATCCCGACCAGATGTATAACAGCCAGCAGTGATACAACAGACAGTCTAGCAGGCATTCAGAGTGACTTGGTATGCTGAAAATGCTCAACCACCCAACAAGTTGTACCACAGCTAGCAGTGACCCTACAGACAATCTAGCAAGCATTCATTGCGAGTTGGTGAGGAGAACATGGTCAACAAAGAGGTGATATAATCCTGGTTTACAAGATAATTAATGGCCTTGAGCATGGACTTAGCTTTGAGGACATGTTTCAGTGGCACGTTTCACCCAATCTTCGTGACCACTCCATGAAGCTACAGACAACGATGTCCAGGCTGAACCTTCGTTCTGAATTTTTCACGCAAAGGGTAGTTGAGAAATGTAACGATCTCCCTCAGTCAGTTGTGGAGGCGACATCCCTGCAACTCTTCAAGAAACGCTTGGATGATTATTTGTGTCCCCTGTTTTCCCTCGAAAGTTTGAATCTGAGCTAAATACCCCGGTTCCATAGCATATTTTTTTCTCTGTCACAATGCTACTTAAATAAATCAAGCACTATTCATGTAGCGAATATCTTCATTGTTACTGTACAGTTATTTCTAACGAGCTGACATGTAAGCAATAGGGTTTTCAAAGGCTTTGCCTATCATCCTTATCAGAAAACTGAATAAACTGAACCCAACCAGTTGTTTTACAGCCAGCAGTGACACAACAGACAGTCTACCGATCATTCAGTGCGACATGGTAGGCTGAACATACTGAACCACCCGACCAGTGGTACCACAGCCTGCAGTGACCCAACAGACAGTCTAGCTGGTATTTAGTGCACGCGGGTGATATATGGGTACTCAACCACTAGACAACTTTACTACAGCCAGCAGTGAACCAACAGGCAGTCTACCGAGCATAGAGTGCGAGTTGGTGAACTGAACATGCTCAACCACCCGACCAGTTGTCTTGCAGCCAGCAGTGTCCCGACAGATATTCTAGCAGCCATTCAGATCGAGTGTTCAAACACACACCAGTGGTGCCACAGCCAGCAGTGACCCAACAGAATGTCTAGTAGGCATTCAGTGCGACTTGGTATACTGAACTTCCTCAAACACCCGACCAGTTGTATTACAGCTAGCAGAGTCTCAACAGATACTCTAGCAGACATTCAGTGCGAGTTGGGGAGCAGTACATGCTCAACAATCCGACCAGTTGTATTACAGCCAGGAGTGACACGACAGACAGTCTAGCAAGCATTCAGTGCGAATAGGTATGCTGAACGTACTCAAACACCCGACTAGTGGTACCACAGCCAGCAGTGACATAACAGACAGTCTACCCTCCATTCAGTGCGACTTGGTGAGATGAGCGTGTTCAACCACCCGACCAGTGAATTAAAACCATCAGTGACCGAATAGACAGTCGAGCAAGCATTCATTGCGAATAGGTATGCTGAACGTACTCAAACACCCGACTAGTGGTACCACAGCCAGCAGTGACAGAACAGACAGTCTACCCTCCATTCAGTGCGACTTGGTGAGATGAGCGTGTTCAACTTCCCGACCAGTGAATTAAAACCATCAGTGACCGAATAGACAGTCTAGCAGGCATTCAGTGCGACTTGGTGTGCTGAACGTGTTCAACCACCCACCAGTGGTACCATAGCCAGCAATGACCCAACAGACAGTTGAGCTGAGCGTACACAGGTCCTCCACCATGGGCACTGCTGGCTTCTGTGAGCTAGCAGTCCGCGTAGAAGTCCCTGCCTTTTCTTAAATTCAGTCCGTGTTTTTTGTTCGATGGAGTCTGTAGGGTAGCCGCTCTGATTTCTCGCATATGATCGCGGCAGACGGTCTAGCTAATACGTGCGTGCAGTGTATGAGCGGCCTACTTTCTACCTTTCCTGTACTTGTGTTTTGATCTGGACAGCTGCAGTTCGCGCACAGGATTTTCCGTCAAACTGCGTCGTTGCATGCATTGTTGGACGCACAAACGGACGCGCGCACGAGATCGTGAGTCACCCATACGACTCAGTCTGGCCGAAAGCGGCAGCGCAACCGCTCGCCTCCTGGTGCCTGGGCCACGGAACGCACTCACGCCTGTCACGATCAGGCCGCCTAAGCATGATCATATGCAAGATCTGCAGCTGTCAAGGTCGAAGCAAAAGTACTGGGATGCGCGTCCGTTAGTGCCTCACAATGTGCACACCCACGCACGCGCGTTGTGACCAGACTGCTTGAAGTTCGTAGGGATAACTCACAAACATATGCCCGAACTGCAGTGCGCGACCGATCTCATGAAGTGTTGGTCGAAATTCTGAAATGAATATTCGATTAGTAAAGATTACTTAGCTGGGGTTGTAGTACGGATTATCCTGCAGCATAATCCTATAGCATTTCGGACTGGC